AACTATCTGAGGAAAAACTATTCTATTAAAGCCTTTAGTATGAAGGCAAGACTTAGGATCTGTCCACAATTACTAAGTGATAAACTGTCTAGCTTTAAATATTTTTTGGGATGGGCCGCAGTGACAACATTTTATTCATTTTCATTATATTGCCTGACAGAAAATATCTATATTTTACATCAATTCCACAGCCAAAGAGCCAATAAAACAATCTTCTTCTTTTTCTTTTGGCTTTTCCCTCTTCAGGGGTTGCCACAGCGAGTCATCCTCCTCCATCTCTCTCTGTCCTCTGCATCCTCTGTCCTCACTCCAACTACCTCCATGTCTCTCTTGTCTGAAGACATAAAAAGCTTCTTGGCTTGCTTTTATCTCCTGCCTCAGTCTAACTGCATCCATATATCTCCTCTTTGTATTTTTCCTGGCAGCTGCATTTCTAACATCCTTCTACCAGTATACCCACTGTCTCTCCTCTGGACATGTCCAAACCATCTCAGTCTGGCCTCTCTCACTTTATCTCCCAGTTGTTCAACCTGTGCTGTACCTCTGATGACCTCGTTCCTAATTTTATCCATCCATCGTCACTCCTAAGGAGAACCTCAACATCTTGAAACAATACAAAAACCATTTAATGTGGAATATGTGCAAAAGTTTGAGAAAAATGTAAAACATTTGTTTACTGCATTTAGTTCAGATTTTGATTTTTTTTTTTTTCTGGAAGATTGTTTCCTAACAACAAACAAAACTCTTCTGCAAATGTATGAAATATACAAAGTAATATATATGCAGTAATTGTGCATATTTCTGCATACTCTAAGTTCCTTGAAACACAAGTTTAAAAGCTGTTCACTTGAAATTGTCTACTTGATGTCTTGTAAAGTTAATGAAACAGCAAATAACAAAAGCATGCACGATTCACATTTTGTCATGAAGTTTGCTGAATGAAATGGTTTTTCAGTTGAAATTGTGGAAATGTTAATGTCATTAGTAACATATTTTATAAAGCAAGGATTTACATCAAATTGAGTGTGATTAAAGTTTGAACTGATGATATTTAGAGCATGGATAGGACTCTCCCAGGAGAACGTCTGGAATCACAGTGATGCCCAGTGTGTGTTACAGATATCCACAGGCTGGCATGAAATGGGACAGAAGCTGCTGTCTTGTTTGAAGACATAAAAAGCTTCTTGGCTTGCTTTTATCTCCTCCAATAAGACCCTCATTTTCATGTCAGAGACCCCAGAAAGAGAAGCACAAATCCTGATTTGATGTTGGCGTCAAAAGGCCTCACTGAGAGGATTATTGTTAAATTGATTTGTTAAGATTGTAACATTGTTCTATTCTAGGCCCTTGTCTTATTCATTCTTGTCCTATTTCATCCGCTATGAATACACGGAAGAAAAATACACAAGTATCATTGATCAGACGGGTTTTATCAGTTCTGTTAAACTGAGGAAAACTTTTTTTTATAGCTTTGACGTTCCCTTCCCACATTTATTCTTCACTCACGTGAAACATGTGCACGATTCGATTTGGAGTCTTTTGTGCTAGACAGACTCACAACTGGGATGTCTACATACAAACCTGCACACTATGAGAATCTACAAGTTCATATAGTTGCTTGCCTAGGATCTGATACTGAAATCCTCTTTTAGTTCACACCTTTTGCGCTTTGAAGTTGAACCGGCTGCGTCAAGTCGCAGCAGAACTTAGCATCTGGTTCCGGAAGTGGTACGGTTTGCAGTTTTTTTAAAACGATGGTAAAGTTTCTCTAACAGTGTTTTAAGGCAGTTCAACTAGTTTTTGAGATGCTCGCGGCTTATATTCACGGTGTAAAATATAAAGTTGCACACCCGTTCGTTTTGTAAAACATTTGTCACCGCTTTTTAAATTCTCCCTCTTTTATTCTGAAAGAGCTTACAGGAAGTTGCGTAGCTAATTGTCTTCCGTGTGTCTGGATCAAAGTCTCGTTGGATCCTCAGTCACACCGTCCTAAACTCTTGAGTGTAGCGCGGCGCACGGACGCTCTTCTGTTTGGATACCAGTCTGCTCCTTTAAAACAAAATAAATATAAATACTTGGATTATATTCATCTGATGGTTTTCAACTGTAACTCGATGTATAGAAATGGGTAAACTGCACTCGAAACATGGTAAGATTCTCCACTCCCGAGAGAAAATCAGAGCTGTAGTTGTCAGCGCTTGATACTTTCTAGTAACATTCATTGTCTCCTCTTGTCCTTTAGCTGCTATTTGTAAACCGAGGGAGAGTCCAGAAGGTAAGCGTTGCTTGTTTTTGCTCTCAATTCAATTAACTAATATTTTCTGAACACTTTGGTCAGTTTGTGAACAATTTCCACAGCCTTTTTTTTTTTTTAATTTTTTTTTTAGCTTAAGCAGCATAAAGCGGAGAGTTTGATTGTTTAGGAGAGAAAAAACACACACTTTGAATGGAAAATGAGCGCTGAAAGTGTTAATTTTCTTGTATTTATTTGTTTGTAGGCGACAGTTTTGTAGTGAACGCATGTTTGGCGAGAAAAGGAATCGACGACTGGCTCGTGAAGCAGAAATATTACTGCACGAGCTCTCGCCTCGAGCAACAGGACTGTCACCTCAACAATAACTGCGGCTTAACGACACGGGTGAGCCACTTATGTTCATTTTTTTAACTAATTCAAGTTATGCCTTGGTGTATTTGTATTAAAGTTATTTTTTTCGTTTATTGTGCTAATAAAGTGGTATGGCGGTTTTACCCCCCATTCTCAGACTTTCTTGAACCTTGTTAAACTTGTAGTAGAAAAAACGACCCTCTCTGCCTGATTTCACAGTTTGTCTTACAACGATAATGCAAGTTTCTAATGTGCCCTTGTTTGCCTCTTTTACCTGGACTAGAGTTATTTTGTTTCCTCCTTGTAATTAAAGGTAACAACAGACCCAGTCTGAGTTGAAAGCATTGCTGTGTGACAGTCTGGTGACAAACTGTAAAAGATGAGGAGACATGTTGGAGGTCAAGCTTGCTTTGTTTTCTGGCAGTGCGGTGAACACTGTGCTGTTGTTGTTGTCAAGTAGGGAAATCCTTTGGAATTGCTTCAGAGGAGCCTTTAAGCCTCTTTGGTTAGAGATGCTTTTTTCTCAAAGGCTGCATGCTTGAGACACTAAAGCCCATCAAGAAAAAGAAAGAAGGGAAAACAGTTCCTCCACCCATGGTCCAGACATTTTGAGCAGAACTGCATCTATTTTTTTAAACTTGACTCCCAATCTAGGATCTAATGCCCTTTGAACACCAAATCACTTATTGTACATGTATGTAGCACGCTGCTGTGATGGACTGCATTGTTTTCCCTTTTTAACGGAGCTTTAATGTTGGTTTGCCTTTTATACTACAATCTCATATTTTCAGGAATTTTTGTTCCGCCTCAATCACTGTGCTTAGCGAAAACTTGCTTGACGTGCAAGTGTTCTCAGAAGTCACGCCACAACACATTTAAAGTTGCTAATACTCAAATGAGCATGTTAAATAAGTTGTTGCTTTTGCAAAAAGAGTCTCAAATGAGGAAATGGTGAGCAGAGACCAGGATGTGTTGGAGGACAGAGATTTCTGCGTATTCTAAACAAAAGTCAACTTTAAAATTCATTCTTGATTTGTTTTCTGTTGCAAGATGGTTCAGCTTTGCTTATTACTATGAAAAAAGGAAAAAGAATGGCATAGAGCGTTGTGAGTTTAACACGTGTGCTGTCAAAGCTGTAAATCTGAATGTGCTTCCTAACATAAAGTAACAGAATCACTCGTTGGTCAGATGCAGTTTGATTTATTTGAGATGATTTTATTGTTGGCTTTAAGAAAAAAAATAACACAAAGATATTTGCAGAGGTAAAGCCGTGTCACTGGCATTAATGAAACTTGCCTCCTGAAAGCAAAATGGCAAGCAGTATGTGTGTGTCTGTGTGTGTGTGTTAGCAAAATATCTCATGAAATATTGGACATATTTTTATAAAACTGTCAGAATGTACATCTACAACTGAATAACTTTTGCAATGAACACAACTCAAGATGGCTGCCACAGCTAACTTTATTATTATTATTTGTTTATGTGCCATATGCAGGTTAACACAAAGTCAACAATGCAATGAAATGTTCAGGATGACAAGAACCGTTTTGACTCGCTATAAAAACAAGAAATAAAAAATATAATGTATCAAAAGAAACGGTATATAAGGATCTAAGATATACACTAAACGTTACGCTAAAAGATCTATGCTAAACACTAATAATGTAAAATAATATGTTGTATTAAACATCAGCCTGATAAAACAAAATAAAAACAAGGAACAAATAAAAGAGTGCGTCGAAGCGGAGCTGTCATCAGTGCTGGCTACCTGCGGCACCAGTTTTACAGATATTCAGCCAAACTTTGGTGTGGTAGTAGATGAGAGTCGTTCTCAACACACACTTTTAGCTCTTAGATCCTGACAATATTACGTAAGGTGGCACACATCATTGGGACCAAAACGACTGTCTCTGTTTCTTTTCATCATAAGATGGTCTTGGTTTACCACGCCGGCACAAAGGGCAGTGGGCGATGCCCATTCCTTCGAGAAATGCTCAGCCGTTAGCTAGTTATGCGTTATCAAAAGTTCAAATACTTTGTGTAATTTAAGTGTTACCACTTTACATTATTTAAGTATTTATGTGTAAACCACATTATTACCAAGCACGTACCACAATAAGCAACATTTAAAGCTTTGTTGCTCAGCATATTCTTCTTCTTCTTCTTTCGGCTTTGCTCAGCATATTAACATGTTTGTTTTCCCAGAAACACTTGTGTTTTTATGTGAAACTTTGGCCAGAAGTAGAGGTCCTCTGCTGAAAAGGTGGAGTTTTTTTTTTTTTTAACAATTTAGAGTCAGTTTGTATAAATAATGTTATTACTGTTGGTTTAAATCATCTTTGTGGCATTTGTCGCATATAGGTGGCTTTTCTATACAGTTCACAAAGGTACATTTCTAACTTCTTATTAGTAGAAACATCAGCATTTGAAAAAAAAAACATTTACTGTAATGGATTTATGTTTCTTCCATGGTCACATATGGTTTATTTGGAAAATGTACTCAAAATGTCACAATTTCCTGCATTTCCAAGAAATGTGGAAAATAAGTTAAGCCACAAAACTCCTTTTATTTAAATATCTGAGCAAAAGTAATCATAGGTTTCAAAGAACGAATTAGTTCTCTAATGAATCAGCTTTCTGTTTGGAAAATATTCATAGCGCCACAAGTCTTGGTATTTATTTAGAAAAAAACTCTAACCTTGACCCCGGTGCGCTTTCAGGAAAAAAAAAAAGAGCTAAGTCCTTTATTAGTGCTACATAATGCAAGTCCACTCTCAGCTTTAAAAGTTGTCCCCGTTGTATAGAATACCTGGTGAGACAGTTATTTATAGCCGCTGTTCTTGAGGCTCCCCTCCCAGTTGCACCAGGGTCCAGAAGAATGTGGGTCGGGTGTCAACAGTGGGGAGTCCTCACTTAAAAATCCTTTTGATCTGATTGTAGCTGCATCTTCCTTCCTAAAGCAACATAGAATAATTTAAAGAATGTCGTTTTGCGAGACGTTGCTCCCATTAGCAGCTCGCCTCTGTCGTTGGTAGACATAGACGGTCTGAGGCGTACAGATGCGCTGGAAGATTTAGCGATGTTCATTCATAAGTCCTGCGCTCAGATTCTTGGTGGACGTTCAGTGAGTGGTCTTGGCAGGTGGATCGGTGTGTCTCAACATGAGACCCTGGTCATGTGAGCCTCAGAAAACTTTCTTCCCCATGTTCAGCACAGTGTCCACACCCAGCCGTAAATGTGATATGTTATGTGCAGCCTGTTAACATTCTCTTACTGATATAGACATGTTGATGGTGGAAGATTTTCACCACAAGATATTTGTAAGTTCAAGTTGTCTTGTTTATTTCATTGCTTCCCTTGGCATTCATTGACTTTAGATTCAGTTTTAATGGCTCCCCTTACATCCCCCCCCTCTTCTGCCCCTCCCCCCTTTTTTGTTCAGCCCTCTACCCCTTCCAATCCTCCATCTGTTTGTTGCATTTATTATGTGGCCTTGTGTTGTTTGCGGTTGATGAAATGAGGTGGCATTTGAAGTGCGGGGAGGTGTTTGCAGTGACACTCTTGGCTCCTCCCCCTCTGTGAAGCTTCACGCTCCGTGTAGTAAAAACAGCCCCTTCCTCCCCTTCCACACCCAGTCTTCTCAAGCTCTTACAAATCCAAAGCTTAGGGTTTTTTTTCACCGACAGCACTTCTTGTTTGTGTGATGCTCAAAGAGCAAAGGTGCACGTGACGACAGAATGTGCAAATCTTCTCTTTTCTCTCAGTTGGGAGCAAATCCTTACTTTTGTTTTACTTTTGTGAAAGTAAAAGTAATTTAGAAATGGGCCTAAAGATTTTGAACACACTCTATTACTTTCCAAATTACATAAAGGACACGGGAGCCTCTGTGCCCCCTCCGTTTTTCGCTTCTTCTCTTGTGCTTCATCTTTCCAAGTTGTTTTCACAAAGCGAGGGCCCTTGTCTGGAAGCTAAAAGCACCTTTCAAATAGAAACTCCTCTTCCTCTCGCTCTGCTATTTTCTGTCCCCTCTGTGTGAGTTTTCTTTTCCCACCGGCTGGCCTCTTGTGCATGCTGTGTGACGTATGCCCCACTCCCACCGGGCTGTACCCCCTCTGTGGTCCCAAGAGACCAAGAGCCTGTTGTTGCTCTTTAAAGAGGCTGAGAGAAAAGTTTGGAGGCGTTCTAAAAAGAAGAAAAGCTCAGTCTTTGAGAGAAGGGGTAGCACCTGGTCATAGAGGGGCTCTGCAATTTTTCTTTTAATTGCATGTGAAGATCCAGTGGAAGTTTGGGGCTGACATCAATGTAGCTTGAGGACAGGGAGGTTCCAGGATGCGAAGGTGGCTTTAATGTCACGTCTAGCACTGCATGTCACATAGATGACTAAAAGCTGAAAGAGTTTCTCCTGTACGACAAAGTGAAGTGGATTACCGTCAGTTGCTGTGAATGGTGCCATCTGGAAAGGATTGCTTTGAAACAGTGATACTAGCTTGGAGTAAGATAAAGTTTCTGTGGCGTGAAGACAACTATGCAACACTTTTCATCTTTCCAAAGCATTTACTTTTCTGCTCTCTGGTTATAATATTTTTAAACACCAGTTTTCTAAGAAGTTCAAAACTGAATCTTTTGAGCTTACTTTAGTCGTCTTTTTTGTGAACGCAATAATCAAGTGTCCCTGTAAGGTGTCTGCATTAAAAGTGTGTATGGCACAATAAAGCGCTCCATGAAACATTCGTCTTGCACGCAAGTGTGTAGTATGTCTGAAGTCAGCTGTCCGGATGCACTCCAGAGATCAAAGGCTTCTTTGGGAATGCGCTCTGAATCTCAGGGGATTAGCAGCTCAGATTGTGCTTTGTTTCCCCAAATATAATGCTCAGATTGGAGCAATGGATAGCTGTTGATCAAAGCGTCTCTTCACTTCAGGGCTTGTTCCACGCTTTAGGGTGGCGTTTATGTCTTGACGAATAGATTTTGAAGATGATCTGCTTTGTTGTTTTGAAACAGGGATGTTTTTACATTTGTCCTTTCCATTAAAA